ACATGTTTGCTCTCTCTTCCAGTATTTCCTATGATTCTCTTGCACCTCATTTTTGCCACTACCTCCTAAATATCTCTTCTCATCAAGATCCTCATGCATATAAAGAAGCTTCTCAATTAGAAGAGTGGAATCATGCAATGAAACATGAAATAACAACATTGCTGAAAAACAATACGTGGGATGTGTTTGAGCTGCCAACTGGCAAGAAGCCAATTGGCAACAAATGGGTTTATAAATCAAAATTTGATTCTGATGGCTCACTGGACAGAAGGCGAGCCAGATTAGTTGCAAAAGGAAATTCACAACAGGAGGGAGTCGATCATCAAGATACATTTGCCCCAGTCATAAAGATGACAACAATCAGAACATTCTTGGCTATTGCATCTATCAGAAGCTGCCATATACATCAATTGGATGTAAACAATGACTTTTTACATGGGGACTTACAGGAAGAGGTCTACATGACACTCCCAAAGGGATATGATGCACCTCCAGGTTACATTCACCCTGTATGTCGATTAAGGAAATCTCTATATGGCCTAAAGCAAGCTTCTCGTCAATGGTTTTCAACACTAACAGACAAGTTGCAGGAAGTTGGTTATACACAGAGCAACAGAGACATCCTACACTTGCATTCTCATATATGTGGATGATCTAGTCATTGGTGGCAATGATATCACAGAGATCAACTCACTCAAGCAATTTCTAAATTCTGCTTTCAGTATCAAGGACCTAGGCGTTCTGAGATTTTTCTTAGGCATCGAGGTTGCCAGAAACAAGAGAGGCATTCATTTGTCACAAAGGAAATACACATTGGAGATTTTTGAAGAGGCAGGAGTTTTTTATTCCAAATCAGTCACTACACCCATGGATTACAAATTGCACCTCTCTAGTGAAGTTGACACTCCATATTCAGATCCAGAGCATTACTGGACACTGGTTGGGAAGCTGACCTATCTCACCACAACTCGTCCCGACATCAGTTTTGCTACACAACAACTAAGTCAATATATGTCCAATCCAACTATGACCCACTACAAGGCTGTTATGTGCATCATCCGTTACCTCAAAACGGCTCCTGCTACTAGCCTATTTCTACCAAGCACTGGCTCTCTTCAATTAAAAGGATTCACAGATTCAGATTGGACAACTTGTGTGGAAACACGATGCTCCACAACAGGTTATTGTGTTCACCTTGGCGAATCCTTGATTTCCTGGAAAAGCAAGAAGCATCATAGTGTGTCCCATTCTTCTTCCGAGGCAGAATACATGGCTCTAGCTTATACTACTTGTGAAATCCAATGGCTCCTCTATCTTCTTCGTGATTTCAAGGTGATCATCCAAAGCCTTCTCTGTTGTACTGTGATAATCAAAGTGCGATTCACATAGCTCAGAATCCGACTTTTCATGAGCTCACGAAGCACATTGAACTCGATTGCCATCTTGTGTGGGAAAAACTCCAATCTGGGATTTTGAAGTTGGTCCATATCTCTTCGACTCACCAGATTGCCGATCTATTCACCTCTGTCCCCAGCTCCTCTTCTTCAACTTTTCTCCAAGCTTGGTGTGCATAATCTATGGCCACCAACTTGCGGGCGGGGGGGGGGGGGGGGGGGGGGGGGGTGGGGTAACAGAGCAGGGACATTGAAATTCAAAACTTCTCCAATGGCCTCCCGCTTTCCCTTTAATTTTCAAATGAAGAAGATGAAGTGAAGTGCTGCGTTTCGTTGGTCTGCAGACAGTTGAGCCATTGCGCACCGTTTTGTTGCAACACTATCGTTCCATCATGTCTTGTCATTTGTTTCCTTTTCGTTCAAGTCAGAGTTTGTTTCCATTTCAAGTAAACTACAAACATGTACTTTGAAGGTTTTCTGGTAGTGATAGATCAGCCAATATATATTGTAATCTGTTGAGACAAATCAATACAAGTTCTTAGGGTTTCATTCCAGATCTATTGTTAACAAATAAAAATTGAGTGGATCATATTCATCAATTACAAAGGTATGCGTTATAACTTATCATTTCGTTCTTTATTCGTATATGGTCAAAGGTTTGATTTTTACACGTAATTTGTGGTCAGCCATTTTCATCTATCTGCAACCAGTTTTATTAAAATTAACCAGAAAATCAACCATAGTTCTTGGTTCATTAAACCCATTAAATAATGCAACAACAAATAACGCAACAACATTGCTATAGTCCCTCTGTACTTCTCATGGGAACCTCTTCTAGACTTCTTACTTCCAAGTGACCTGAATTCTTGAGTCTTGAGGTTTGGAAGGTGGTGGACTGGTGGGTGATCTTGAGCAAATTGGTTCAACTGAATTTAAACCAATTCTTGGTTGATTTGCTTATGAAGCAAGGTAGTCAATCCGATTTAGCCCGCGGGCCCGATCGAGCAAATGAGTTGATGATTAATAGTCTGATCGCTGTAGTCTGGTTTAGTACAAATATATGAAAAAGTAATAATATTTTTGTCGTACATTTATAAATTATATCAAATTTCATCTGACTTATGAGTAATAACTTATAACATTACTACATCAAAATAACAATTCGTACTTGAATCCAACGAATAGTGAAAATTCAAACACACTCATATAACATCAATATTCAAATGTTCGATGTAGAATTCAAAAAATAAGGTTAGATGAAAAGAAAAATAAAAAATATACATATTTTGCAAATCAAAATGAAAAGCGACACTATGTGAGATCCAACCCAAAAACCTTGTTGCGAGTCGACCCGCGAATATGTGACGACACCCATTTGTCTCACTGGGTCCGAGTCAAACCGAGTCTACCTACGAGTTGACTAGGTTGACAACCTTGTTCGGGAGCGAAACATTGCGCACGGTAGACTCGGGTCTAGCGTAGCACTACTGCAGTAGTATGGCTATACCTCGACTCATAAGTCTCAATCCGATTCAATGGAAAAGAAGGATAAAGGATAAACCTGTCTATAGGCTAGGCATGCTCTAGGCTTGGGACGTGGGCTCCAATTTGGTCGTCATTTCATGGCACAGTATCTACTCCTTTGAAAGAAAGTCTAGCTTAGCTTCAAACACCCAAAAAGAATCATAGAAAGTCTCTGTTCATCTGTATTCGGTCCGGCCGCCTTGAGTATCCAACGATATGGAAGAAACTAAAGTAGAAACAGAGACACCCACCAAAGAAACTTTTGGTCATGTTATATTGAGGAGCATCAGCAACATCATCGAACAATACAGATGCATTTCTAAAGCTCGTGCGAATTCGACCATCCTCGCATCATCGACGATCATTGAAACACGAGCTTCGTGTTCTATAACTGTTAGATATATGTCGCGATAAAATTGTAAACACGCATTCAACCATGGTAACTCGTGGAACATGCAATCCAATAGCTGTAAGGCGTTTAGAAGTACTAAAGCATCCTAGTTTTAAACCGGTTTGACAGCCTTGTGGGGCACAAAACGAGGGAAGAAGGTTGGAGAAACAGGGGAAATAGTAGAAGTACGAGTTTCCAAGCAGAGGACTTTTCTTTTCTTCTCTTGTGTTCAATTCAAAGTAGTGGAATGAAGGAATGATGTTGGCATTGCGTGTTTAATTTAATGAAAAAGGAGAAAACCCCCTAAAGTGGAGAATTTTTTAGAGAGACCTCCATATCCATTCCTTTCTTCCCTCTCCTTCCTGTTCCCCTGGTCTTGTCTTTGTTTTTTATGAACTCCTCCTCCTTCCCATTGTCTTTTTGTCAACGATGATGATGAGATCGACTGGTTCATTGTTGCACTTCCATGAGTAGAGTGAGTTTTCTGGCAATTGTATGTAATACGCAACTTTTGAGAGCGAATGATTTGTGTCTACGCAACTGTAGCGATATTTTCTCACGATAATACTTGACAACCCATAAGAATGAAAACCCAATTCGCATAACCATCAAGCTAATTTTCTCAAAATGTTAGATCTTGAGATTTAAATCCGAGAGAACATCCGTTGTCCGTAATTAATAATTTACCTAATCACCTACAACTTGGTTGTCCTCGTGAGTTGTCAGTTACAAGTTATAACAGAGCAGAGCATACCCTACACTACAACCTAACCAGGGAAGTACGGAAACTTTTCTGCGTACACCATGCACTACATAACATTACAACCACATTCTCATCTACCAGAACTCCCCCAAACTTCACGCATCATTGCACAAACACCTTTTACCATAGTGGGGAAACAAACCAAAATGTTAGATTTGGGTAGTGCCAGGTCGATAATAATTCGGCATCATTTCATTAAATACCCACATCATAAAAATTTATTGACCCCGCTCTCCTCTAACAAATTAGTAGTAAAAACCGGTGACCGTATATAAAATTGTTTTCTTCCCCTTGTACATTGCTATGGATAATGACTAAATACCAAAGGAAGAAAGGACCATTACCCCACTCCACTAACTTTGCCTACTGGCTAAAGTTCCCCTTAGCTTCAACCTAGAGAAAATTTTCATTAAAATCCACAAAAAAAAAAGGAGTCTCAGAAGTATCACTTCGTCCGTTTGTGTGTGGTTCGAATTTTAATGTGATAAAAATGATTTATTCTTTGAAATCGTCTTCAAATGATGATAAAATTATCTATTCTATGAAATTGTCTTCAAATGATGTCGAAGTGGGCTGTGGGCACATAATTAGACTGTAAAACGTGATGGATATCTGAATTTTGCACACATAATGGCTTCTTCGTTTGATTTTGTATATTTGAGAAAGATCAGCTTAATTTACCATCTTTTCCTTATTAAGATCTCAAGGGGAAAAAATCATAAATCCAAAAAAAGACCCCCCAACTTGCTGTCTCGCTTGTCTCAAAACAATCAAACCCACATATGCTAACCTTAGGCCCAGCCCAGGCCCACCCACCTTTTCATTTTGTTTGTGTTCTCCTTTTGACTCGTTGGTACATAAATCAACCCTCACGGATTTCTTCCCCTCAAACCTTCCAAGATCTTCCCTCACCTAAACCTTCATCACCCCACCATAACCGCATTTACTTAATACCAGTTTACTATATACTAAGCACATAATTAATTATTAATACAAAGCATTATCTACCCCAACCACCATACCACAAAACCAGACACAGAATAGTTAACAATAAAAATATAAATTCATCTTTCTGCATTTGGGAAGGGGGAAAACGAGCCCACCATAAGCAAAGCAGGCTCTTTACAAAATATACCCTTACAATAACACTAACAATATCGTTAACTTCAAAGTCTGGATAATCATCATCTTAATGCTACTGACTAGGTCTGACACTGAACCACACATTAATTAAGCAATTAACAAAGTGGAAAAATATTAAGAGAGACGAATTCTTCCACCGCAGTTTTTATTTTTAGTGAAAAATTAAAAAGTAAAATAACTGAAATAGTATTCGCCCGCCGCCACCCACAGCCTGTACAGAAATATCTCCTTCTACTTTTTGTTTTTTGCCAGCTTCATCGGCCACCTCTTCCTTCTGAAAATTGCTAATCTTCCCCCAAAATAGAGATCACCAGTCTTCGGCAGCCGCCACAACTTCCTTCAAATCATAATCTTGACAAAAGACATATGCACATTCTTCTAAAATTACAATTTTTGTGGATTTTTTTCATGCTTTCACTTTTTTTTTTTCAACCGCCGTTTCACCCCAAAAGCCACCGCCTTGTCGTATCTCCTCCGGCGGTCGCCGCCATATGTACAAACTGAGAAGAAACCAGAACGAAAAGCCATCCATATACCGAAAAGAAAAGCCATATCCTCCCAAGGAAAACGACAAAATGCACAGCCAGATCCGGGCCCGCGACCCATTGATCACTGAACCAGCTCCGAAATCCAATCCACGTCCAGACCTCCGACCGCCGAATACGGCCTCGGGCCGCCCCGCTCCAGCATGTTCTCCTTGCTAATTTTGTCGAACATCCTCGCCCTGATATCCCTCGCGGATTCCACCCTCTCCATTGCTGGCTCTTCCTCGCACACTTTGTCCCAGAAATCGGCCGAGTACCCGAGCCCGCTCGAGGTCGTCGGAACACTGCAGAAACCGGGTCGGAGGAGCGACCCGACGCGAGGAGACCTGTACCGGGATCCCCCTCCACCGCCGCCACCGGCTCCAATCCAGGCCGAAGGTAGGGATTTCACCTTACCCAGCTGCAAGTTCCGGAGAGACACCATCATCTCGTTGATTGAGTTGGAACCCAGCGAGCGGCTCAGCGTCTGCTGAGTCGTCATCGGCGACATCGGCGGCGAGTCCGTCTCGGGGGGCGAGACAGAACCTGGCGACGAAGTCATGAATGGTAGAGTCCAAGCACAGGAAGACTCAATCGCCTGGCGGAATGGCGATCCATCGTACGACTCGGTACTCCTCGGGCTCTGAGGCAGAACCCGGAGTTGCTCCGCGTGTGAGCAAAGAAATAGACCCGCCTCTTGCAATTAGTCCCGTCCTTACACGGCTCGGTGCGGTACCGGGCCGGGTGGAGCCAGCACTCGAACATTCCGTGAGCGAACTCGCAGCCGTCGCCCTTCTTGCAGTTCCCCTTTTGGAACTCAGGGCATGCCGTGCCGGAGTAATGGTACTTCCTCTGATCCCTCCGGCGCGCTTTCTCGCCGGGGAGAGCGTAGGGGCACTCTGTCTAGTCGTGGGAGTGGCCTTAGGCCCACCGTTGGATCTTGAATTCGTAGATCCTAAAGTGATCGCAGGAGTAGGCTTCGACAAGGGAGTCGTGGTCGAGACCCGGGTGCAAATCTGTGTCGTTGGAGGGGAGGAATCGCTGCAGCGCTGACAGAGCTTCCTGTACGTAGAAGGGGTTGTAGTGATGGGAAGCAGGGGAGGAGACAATGCCCTCGCCGCCGGCGGAGTGTGGGCTGTAGAAATCAGAGGAATTGTCGTCGACGGCCGTCCACGGAGGAACGTGAACGGAAGTATGAGGACGGTGTTGCTCACCAAGCATCATCGTTTCAGGAAAATCTCGAATCTAGAAGAAGAATGGAGAAATCGATCTTTTTTCGCTGCTTTTGTTGGGTTTTGGGTTAATGGAGGTCTGTTGATTTTTTGTACACAGATACATCGGCAAGGTTTGGTGGTATATAAACTGCTGAAGGGAGTGGCGAGGTAACCGGGGTAGGGTTGAGGGGAACTAACCGTGGTTAGGTTAAATTTTTCGGAGGAGCTAGTTTGTAATTTTACAGGGCGATTAAAATATTAATTAAATATGGGGGAGTATTTCGGGGATCACATGCGGGAGAATCACAGATAAGGAGGTGGATCGTACACGTGGCGATGATGGACATGCCTTGGTCCACGTGGCGGAGAGGTGGTGGAGGTGAGGGGATTAAACCGCTTAATTGTGTACCGGGCTGGGGCACTGCCTGCAATGGTTTTATTCTTTATTCTTTTTTTCTTTTCCTGCATTCAAACAAGGTGTTACGCCTTATAGGGTTGTGGAGGCGGTGGAGCGTCAGATACGCCAAGACTCCTATGAGTGAAACTGAAAATTATTAATCTCTTCATTCTCCCAGCACACAGTTAATGCTACGGTCTACAAAACACTGAATCTAATACTCAAATAATTTTTTTGAGAAATAATTCTCAATAAATAGGCTGGACAGGGTAGGCTAGATTTTTTCGACTGGTACACCAGACTACCTAATGGGATAATCAACTCCTTTGAGAAGTTCACATTCCTATTCACAACAAAGTTCGAGTCCCAAAAAAGAAGACCATTGCACCTGAAAGCTCTGATCGACATAAAACAGAAGGATGGGGAAAGTTTGAGGGCGTTCTACGCTAGATGGTCAAGAATTTCCATGACGGTGAGAGACCTATCACTAGAGACAGCCGCCCACCACCTCTTGGAAGCCACGACCAACATGGAACTAAAGCGGGCTATGGCCAGAAGACCAGTTATATCATCAACAAAACTCGAGGTTAAAGTAGAGAAAGCTATTACACTCGAGGAAACACTGGGAGTGAAGACGACATGGCGTTCCAAACCGCCAAGGCAGACCAGGGAGGACCAGAATCAAAGACAACTCCCAGTACCACAAGAACAACTCTTGCAACGCTATAACGGGGAAAAGCAGACAGCTCGCTCACCCAGATCCGGCACCACCACGACGCTCCTCGGACAGACGGCCACCTCAAACCTTCACCCCGCTCAAAGACATGGTGAAGAACGTATTTCATCTCATATGCGAGAAAGGCTACCGCCTCAACTGGCCTGCCCCACTGAAAGCCACGCCACACATGCGCGACCACAAAAGTATTGCGATTTCCACAGAGAGACGGGCCACATGACAGAGGATTGCTTCAACCTCAGGGTGGAAATAGAGACACTACTCAGGAGAGGATACCTGGCCGAATATGTCAAGGAGAAAAACGAACAAAAGGATAACAACTTTCTGCTACCACCCCCTCCGTAGCAAGAATACTGCGAGTCGTACATCGTGCAGAAAGAAATACGAATTGTCAAGGTCGAGGGAGGTAGATCGCAAAAGAAGACAAAACGCGAACATGCGACGGAATGTGCATTGACGGATGCATCGCCTAAATGCAACATGGGTTTCGACGATACAGAGTTCCCACAAGGAACCCCATCAGAAGATCTGCTAACTATCACAACACTGGTCGCGGCATGCAAGGTCCACCGCCTACTAGTAGACGGAGGAAGTGCAGCGGACATCTTATTCAAGAGAACTCTAGAACAGATGGCGATCGACCCGCGTATGATCAAACATGCGCAGGGAAACTTGGTGGGATTTTCGAACACTCGAGTAGCGGTAATTGGTGTGATGACGCTACCAGTGGTGATCGGGAAAGAAGAACCGAGGATTTCAAGGCAAGTGGAATTCACCATCGTGGACTGCAACTCTCCTCACAACGACATTCTAGGCAGACCATTTCTGGCCAAGTTCATGGCCATACCATCCACCTGCCACCAAAAGCTAAAATTCCCCACCAAGACAGGAACCAGAGAGCCGTGCGGATCATCCTGGAGTGCGACAAAAGCACCGCATCCAGCGTGCCAGACCAATATCATCGACGCGTCCCGAATCCATTGACTCGGACTTCGAAGTTCCACTAGGCCCAGCACAACCGGCCAACATGGTGCTCATCTCAACGCACCTCCCCAACAACATGATCGAGCCATTGGTCAAACTGCTACAAGAATACAAGGAGCTCTTCGCATGGTGCACCGAAGAAATGCCCGGTCTGCTAAGGGTCGTACGGAACACAGCCTCGCAGCCCCCGACAATACCCAACCGCGACAACAAGCCCGACGTACTTTCACGGGCAAAAAATTGAAAGCAATTGAAGATGAGGTCTTCTGACTCCTTGCAGCGGGGCTAATTTGAGAAGTGAAATATCCTACCTGGCTAGCCAACGTGGTATTGGTAAAAAAATCTTCAGGAGCATGGCGAATGTGTGTAGACTATACAACCCTAAATAAGGTGTGCCTGGGGGACCCCTATCCTCTCCCGCGCATCGACCAACTCATCCCGATGAGTCGCGAAGAAGAAGAGAAATCGCTTTCATGACCTCGTTTGGCGATTTCTGTTTTGTAGGAATGCCCTTTGGGTTGAAGAACGTCGGTGCAACGTACCAACGAATGATAGACTCATTGTTTTGCACGAAAAATTGGGGGGAATGTCAAAGCCTACGTCGATGACCTCATCGTAAAAACAAAGGAAGGGAACTCACACCTAAAGGATCTGCGCGAGACATTCAAGTCACTCCGAGAGCACAACCTCCGCCTGAATCCACTCAAGTGCGTATACGGCGCCGAGGCCGCAAAATTCCTCGGTTTCGTGATAACAAGGCGTGACATTGAAGTCGATCCGAAACAAATCATCGCAATGCAACAGTTAAGGGCGCCAAGGAGCGCAAACGAGATGCAATCACTGAATGGCAAGTTGGTGGCTTTGGGAAGGTTCAAAGCAAGATCAGCTGACAAATGTGATCCTATCTTCCAGACCTTGAAAAGCGACACTCGATTCGCGTGGACACAAGACTGCGAAGCGACATTTAGCAAGCTCAAAATGTACCTTGTTTCTCCTCCTGTATTGACCGCCCCTAAGAGTAATGAAAAACTTTTCTTGTATTTGGCCGTGTCGTCCCGGGCCCTAAGCGCAATGCTAATCTCCAAAAGAGAGGAGCAAGCGGAACGAACAGTATACTACACATCACGGACATTGTCAAGTGCGGAGACAAGGTACTCGCCGGTAGAGAAGGCAGCCTTGACCTTAGTAAGTACGTCACAAAAACAACGACCCTACTTCCAAGCACACTCGATCATTGTACTAACAAACCTTCCGCTCAAGCGAATATTAAGCACCATGGAAGTGTCGGGGCGGATGACGAAATGAGCAGTTGACTCACTCGTACTGTCACTCTAGAAAATGGCCAAGTGAAACCACTTCCTAAAGCGTAGTATAGCGGGTTTGGGTTTTAATGTCAACCCGGGTCCTAGATGTGATGACTACTCAGTGAATTCTAATTATCTAACAGTAAAACTTAAGTGCAGGTTCAAACAAACAAAAACACAAAGCAAGTTAAACGGTTGTTTCAAGTCGAGAGAGGTCATCCGGATATGGTTCCCCCTAGACTGCAGTTAAGCCGGATTGCAATTACCAAGTTCAGTTTCTATGATAGTTATACTGCGGAAGGTTCTTAAACAGTCTGAAGTCTCGACTAAAGGTCTTCTGACCCTCTCAATCTGAGTCCCCAGCGGGCGACTAACCTCCACCGGAGTAAACAGATTGAGGCCCTAACGAACAAAACCTCCTCTACCGAAGTAACTTCAGTACAGAATAGTGAATTGGCTCCTCGACTAAAGTCGCCAATTCACTACCTTCAATTAAGGGTGCTCTATCAACCTAGACAGATATTCTCTTTCTAGGTTAAAGTAGAAACAACGGGAATTTGATCAAGACTCATGCCATTCAATCATTCAAACCTCAATTGAATATAAACAAATCATATAATCTGTACTTGGGTTCATACAATCAAACCTAACATACAAATCTAGGGTTTCCCATACCCAGATGAATGGCAGAATTACTCCATGGAGAAAGAAGCAAAAGCAGATTCAGATGGGGAAACCATACTATGAAGGATAGATTTCTGCTCCTGGGCGTCGATCGGCACTCCTCCAAGCTCAAGCCAGGCTCCAATGGTGATGAAGATCAAGCTAGGGCACTTGGGAACTCTTGTTCGTCGCTTTCTCTCTCTAGGAATCGCTTTGTCTCTCTAAAACTCGAATCCCCATCACTTGTGGCTGGAAATTGGCTTAAAACCAGAAAATCCCGACTCACACGGCCATGTCACACGGCCGTGTGACTCCCCCAGCTGCCCGTGTGGCTTTGCAAAATGCGGAGTTTCGTTAAGTGACTTAAGGCTTCCCACGCGGCCACGACTCACACGGCCGTGTGAGTGTCCAGGCTGCCCGTGTGGCTTTTGCCGAGCCTTCACACGGCCACAGTGGGTCTCCCACACGGCCGTGTGGCTTTTGGGCATGCCCGTGTGGCTTCTCAGCTTCTCGCCAAGCGTCCAAACTTCGTCCAATCGACCCCGAACTCGTTCCTAAACCTTCATTCACGTACTAGGACCTGAAATATCACAAACAAGAACAAACCTAGCGTGAAATCGGCCTAAAACACGGGAATCGAAATCTGAAACGGCTCAAGAATAGGGGTAAAAACATGTGTAATCAATGGTCTATCAAACTCTCCCACACTTAACCGTTTGCTTGTCCCCAAGCAAACCAAGTCAGTCAGACACAAGGTAAGCTCAAAAACTTTCAATCAAGCAGGCTTTAGGGCATAGCATATCGCCACAAAACGCGTGGATCATACTGGCTTTCGATCATTAATACATGGGCTACTCCAACGACAACCTAGACAACCACCAAAGATGACATTCAAATGCAGTAAAGTCGAGCAAAGGAAGAGTCTCCCTTCTGTTCACCAACCAACATAGACTTGACCCAACCACTTATTCATAACAGTCACTTCATGCATAAAGCTCAAGATATCAGAATTAAGACCGAGCAATCTAGGT